AGCACAGGGGCTGGACTCGCTGCCCTACCACCGTGCTGCGTGGCTTCCTCTCCAGCACAGCTGCTTAGTTTGTATTTTTCTGTTCTTTCTTCATAAACTTAGAGCCAACGGAGGAGGAGCTCTGGTTTCAGGGTACCCACACCGCTTGCACGATGAGCAGGGCAGTAATCAGAGCGAGGAGAGGGGGCTATTTCGTGTAGGAAAAGGTAATTGCCGTCTCTTTCTCCCCGCAGCAGCTAAATGCATATGCCTCTTGTTAATAAAGATGGCACCAAAGCAGCAGCTTTGGCTAGTGCTGAAAATTATGCATGGGCCTTATCACACCGATGAAACCAGCTTAAAGAATCATAAGGGCTAAAACTACAAAGAAACGGGATTTTTCTTCATTTCCTTCTTGTGGTTTTGAAGTTTTAGGGTCCCATTTTTCCACTTTTTTTGAGGAGGGTCCTATTTTCTCAAACTTCAGTATTTAGGAACACTAGGGGTGGGAAGAATATTTCTGCTTCCTATTTTTCTCTAATTCTTGAAATCCTTGTGTGAACCAGAGAATTTCTGAAATTGAATCTTTAAGAAAAATAAGGCCATACCCCAGACACTACCAAACATGTAATCAAAATCACAGGAGGGGTCAGTGGGGTCAATATACTTAGAATTAGAGTAATCATCAAAGCCAAATTGGTGAATTAGAGTAATCATCAAAGCCAAATTGGTGAATTAGAGTAATCATCAAAGCCAAAAATGCAACCAAGGCCTATGGATGTACATGGACCTGGCAAAAGCTCTGCGCTCCCAAACCAGCGTGTGGGAAGTGTTGGAGGGGTGAAGACTGCGCTGTGCTCTGGCTGGGTCACCCTCCGCTAGCCCTTGGGTTCACCCGTGATCCTGCAGGGAGAAGGGGCCCACAGATCTGTGGGGCTGGGGATGTGGGGTGAGCCAGGGCAGGAGGGCACCGCCTGCAAGGGGAACGGCCGTGACCCCCCCTGCGGTGGAGAACCGGGGCTTCGACTTTAAGTGCATGTGTCCCTGTGGGCATTTGGGTGCCAGTCACTCCCAGGAGAAATGCAGCTTTGGTGTTCTGGAGAGGCATGGATTTAGTGAGTCTTGAAACAATAGGGTAGGCAAAATATTTAACAGAAACTATTTATTTTTTTTATTAAAAAGAGAGAAGATAAATGCACGAGAGAAAAATATACACGAGTGAGAGAAAGGCAGGAAGAATGAATGAAAGGAAGGAAGAAAGAAAGGAAAAAGAAAGGTACACAATAAAGAAGGAGTTAAAGGTAGAAAGATGAAAAGAAAGGGAAAGGGGGAAAGGGAAGAGAAAGGAGGAAAGGGAAAGGAAGGGGGCTGCATGCAACTGGGGAAAGGTGGTCTGCAAATGACATGAACAATTTAGCTGTTGTGCAACAGGACATTACTTTGATGGAAAAAACCTTCCTCAGAATTGTTTTGTGGAATATGTCTCTCCAGCTCAAGTCAGTGACAACACCCCTGAGGAGAGCATTTCCCCTGCATTTCGTGGCCGGAGGATGGTGATGTCCTGTGGAGATAATTACCCTGAGCCCCAGCAGGAGGGGAGCTGGGCATGGGCTCAGAGAGGAGATCCACCTTGCCTTGGAGAAGCAAATACCATCTCTGTGCAAAATCTTCCTTAGCTCTATGTTCCCCTCACTTGTCAGCTTTGAACTATGATCAGGAGGGCAAACACCCAAAGGCAGGATGCAGCAATGATAAAATCAGGGCCAGGTCTGTTTGTACCACGTCCCTGATGCCCAGGTCCTGAATTTTCCTGCTCATCCTCACACAGCACAAGGGGTCAAAGCAATGTGGGGAAGACCAGGCCACCAAACCATGGGCATGTTAAGCCTTGTAGCATCACTCACAGCCCTGAAACCATGCACCCTGCCTGACGGCGCAAGTGGCCAGATGTTTGCAAGGAGACTTTGGGTTTGAAACCTTCTAGTTGAATGTAGGTTGCCTCACACCCCATGGACAAACTGTCTATCTGTTCCACATGCCTGTGCGTAAACTGACTGCAGGAAACCTTACTTCATGCCTGTTGCTTGACAAAAGTCTATATTAAAAATAAACAAAACCTTTCCATAAATAGCATGCATTCCATTTTTCCTTGTGCAAGCTGTCCTTAGGCCTTCAGCTGCAGCTTGTTTCATATTTCACATAATAATTCCATAGGACAGTTGGCTTTCAATCACAGACACAGCATAACTCAGCTACTGCTGCACCGATACCCTGATTTCTGAAAAGTTGGCTGTAACAGCACGGAAGCCAGGACATGGGCTGGGACCAGATGAAGAGAGGAGATGAAGAGATACTGGCAGGTGGTTTGCCCAAAGCTGTCTCCAAAATAGTTTTGGCATTGCCATATCTTTGAGTGAAGGCTGTAATAAAGAGTCATGAAGTGTGTCTGCTAGGATTTAAAAGTAGAAAAAAATGGCCTTAGCTCACAACAAGAAGATAGCCTTTAATGTTAGCAAAAAGACTCGTAACTACACTGAAATATGTGCGCCAAGGAAGCACCTACCAGCTCTGGGCTCATTAACATGTCCTGATGATTTCTGGAGAAAGTAATGGTGGTAAAGCCAAATTCCCAGTGGGAATTTGCGGAAGCCTTCTGGAGAGGATGCCCAGCCCCACACACCACCAGTACGCCCCAGCATGCCAGCACACCGAGCCGCACTGCAGCTGGATTTCCTGCAATAAAGAAGATCATAGAATCATAGAATCATAGAATGTTTTGGGTTGGAAGGGACCACTAGAGGTCATCGAGTCCAACCCCCCTGCAGTCAGCAGGGACACCGCCAACTAGATCAGGTTGCTCAGAGCCCCATCCAACCTGGCCTTGAATGTTTCCAGGGATGGGGCCTCCACTACCTCTCTGGGCAACCTGTTCCAGTGGTTTACCACCCTCATTGTAAAGAATTTTTTCCTTATATCTAGCCTAAACCTACCCCGATTTAGTTTAAAACCATTACCCCTTGTCCTAACGCAGCTGGCCCTACTAAAAAGGTTTTCCCCCTCTTTCCTATAGGCCCCCTTTAGGTACTGAAAGGCCGCAATCAGGTCTCCCCGCAGCCTTCTCTTCTCCCAGAGTACGGTTGGCCTTCTGGGCTGCCAGGGCACATTGCCGGCTCATGTCCAGCTTTTTATCCACCAGCACCCCCAAGTCCCTCTCGGCAGGGGTGTTCTCAATCCTTTCTCCCCCCAGGCTGTATTGATACTGGGGGTTACCCCATCCCAGGTGCAGGACCTTGCACTTGGCCTTGTTGAACCTCATGAGGTTCACACAGGCCCACCTCTCCAGCCTGTCCAGGTCCCTCTGGATGACATCCCGGCCTTCTGGTGTGTCAACCGCACCACTCAGCTTGGTGTCATCTGCAAACTTGCTGAGGGTGCACTCTATCTCACTGTCCAAGTCATTGATGAAGATGTTGAACAGCACCGGTCCTAGTACGGACCCCTGAGGGACACCACTTGTCATCCACCCCTGAACTGCTCCCCAGCCCTGCAAACCACTCCAGGAGGCCTCAGCGGCAGCAGCACCAATATTGCTCTCAGCTGCCCTGCCCTGCGCCCGATCACCCAAACATCCTGCAAGCCAGGCAGGGGACAGGCAGTTGTTATTTGGGTGACCCTCAGCTGCAGCATCCTGACGTTTTTCTCAGTCCAAACACCTACCTTTCCAGGGTTCATTTCTTTGGGTATTCAAACACACACCCATCGGCAGAATTTCTGAGCCACAGAAATAATTCAACGCAGCCACCAAACATGGGTTTGCTCTAATTTAATCTTTATTTCAAAACCAAAAATCAAATCCACATCTTCATCCGCTGTACTAATGACTTCCCATGTGAGCTGAAACTTACACGAAACTCTGATTCACTGTGTTTACTTTGCATGGGAAAAGGATGTTAGAAACCTTAAAAACATAATCATGCATAGAATCTTGTATAAATAATATTAATTTCATCTAACTATAGTAATTACTATAATTCCATTAAGATTATTAATACCTTACATTAATAGAGCATCAGCCCAAAAGTGTATCAAGAGAGATTAGAAAAAAATAATCAAGACGTAAAGCACATCTCTCATCACCGTTTTTCTTTGATTACCTAAAATAACCACAGCAAATCTGGTTTTGTAGGTCAGGTTTTCTTTGAAGTAGAGCAGCTGCTCAACCTCAGTGCAACTATTTTGTATTAGCATAAAATGATTTTGTAATGTTCTATTGGGGTAAGTTTCTTACCTAAAGAGCCAAAAGCACATAAATCTGTCGACTCAGAAGCTGATGCTCAGGCACAGGTTTTCCATCCTGGTCATCAGAGGCCACTTTAAAGATTAATTCTTTTTCCTTGCATGACCTTTGCTTGCTTCTTCTAAACATCCTGCATTAAAAAAACCGAACAAAACCACAAACCCAACCAAAAATACTTAGAAGTATTGGATACAGTGTTTCCTGCTTATTCCTGGAGTGAGCTTATCTGTTAGGCCATGTATTCATAAAAATACCCCTTAACTTATTCATTGTGTCTTCAAAGTCTCAGACAGAAAAGTACAGACAACACTAAGTGACATAAAAAGCTACAAACCCCACCGCACAAAACCACACTTGAAATAAGCCAAAAGACTCACTGGATTGACATGGTACGTGGAGAAGACACCACAGATGGGTACTGAATAAACTGTGTCCTCCTACTCTTGCAGATTTGGTTAGAATCACCTAAAGAGCTGCTGGCGTAAGTTTGCCCTAGCTGGGTGGATTTGCACTGAAAGATACCAAGGCACGTGGATGAAATCAATTTTGGCAGGTCAGAAGTGGGAGTGGCGGTGAGCAGAGCTGGAGGAGGAACTTGCAGAGCTCCTCTGCTCTTTCCAGAGATGGGAAGGGGCTGCCTGGAGATGAAGGGCACTTCTCCAGCACAGGCAGCCAGGCAGCAAGAAGCAGCCTTATCAGCTAAAAGGCCAAAAATTCTTGCTAGTTACAAGATAAGGTCATGATTTAAGATTACCATAAGGTCTGAGGCAGGAGTCACTTTATATTTTGCATGTCCAAATTCAATCACTTCTTTCTGCAGGTGCTCTTGGATTGTGTTCTTAATGTTAATGTAGTAGCACTCCGAGCTGGCAAAGTCACAGCTTATACTCTGCGTGAGGACATTGGGCATCACTCACTACCACATTGATTATGAACGACGGGTGGAAAAAAGCTCACACATTCTGGATAGTGGACACACATGACCTAGAGCAATCCTTTACCTGCTTGATCCCAGATTACGTGCAACCAGAGTGCAATCATAGAATCATAGAATCATAGAATGTTTGGGGTTGGAAGGGACCCCTGCTGGAGCAGGGACACCACTAACCAGATCAGGTTGCTCAGAGCCCCATCCAACCTGGCCTTGAATGTTCCCAGGGATGGGGCCTCCACTACCCCTCTGGGCAACCTGTGCCAGTGTTTCACCACCCTCATTGTAAAGAATTTCTTCCTTATACCTAGTCTAAACCTACCCTGGTTGAGTTTAAAACCACTACCCCTTGTCCTGTCACAGCTGGCCCTGCTAAAAAGATTCTCCCCATTTTTCCTATAGGCCCCCTTTAGGTACTGAAAGGCCGCAATCAGGTCTCCCCGCAGCCTTCTCTTCTCCAGGCTGAACAAGCCCAACTCTCTCAGCCTGTCCTCATAGGAGAGGTGCTCCAGCCCTCGGATCATTTTTGTAGCCCTCCTCTGGACCCACTCCAACACTTCCCTGTCCTTCTTGTGTTGAGGGCTCCAGAGCTGGATGCAGTACTCCAGGTGAGGTCTCACCAGAGCAGAGTAGAGGGGCAGAATCACCTCCCTCGACCTGCTGGCCACGCTTCTCTTGATGCAGCCCAGAGTACGGTTGGCCTTCTGGGCCGCCAGCGCACATTGCCGGCTCATGTCCAGCTTTTCATCCACCAGCACCCCCAAGTCCCTCTCGGCAGGGCTGCTCTCAATCCTTTCTTCCCCCAGACCTTGCACTTGGCCTTGTTGAACCTCATGAGGTTCACACAGGCCCACCTCTCTAGCCTGTCCAGGTCTCTCTGGATGACATCCCGTCCTTCTGGAGTGTCAACCGCACCACTCAGCTTGGTATCATCTGCAAACTTGCTGAGGGTGCACTCGATCTCGCTGTCTAAGTCACTGATGAAAACATTAAACAGCACCGGTCCCAGTACGGACCCCTGAGGGACACCACTCGTCACCGGTCTCCATCCGGACATCAAGCCATTAACCACTACCCTCTGGACACGACCATCCAGCCAGTTCCTTATTCACCGAACAGTCCGCCCATCAAATCCATAGCTCTCCAATTTAGAGAGAAGGATGTTGTGGGGGACCATGTCAAAGGCTTTGCAGAAGTCCAGATAGATGACGTCTGTTGGTTTTCCCTTGTCCGCTGATGGTGTCACAACACCATAGAAAGCCACTAGGTTCATCAGGCAGGACTTGCCCTTGGTGAAGCCATGCTGGCTATCTCGAATTACCTCCCTGGCCTCCATGTGCCTTAGCATCGAGCAATCGAGAAGTCAGAGTCAGAGTGGACCCGGGTGGTCAGTAAGGGTTCTTACTCTGCACCCAGACAGTCGCATCAACCCACTTACTTTGTAACCAGATCTTAGTTAAGAAGACTTTGATGGTGTTTAGCAGCTAAATGAATATTGACAGCTGCCTGGTGGTTTCCTACCTTTCAGAAACCTGATGCCTTGTTTGCTCCAGAGCCATGAATAAACAGAGGATGGAAGAACACCGTGTCTCTCATATCCATGACAATGTGAACACAGGGACTCTTCTCATCGTAAACCAGCAGCTCATGGAAAAATTTGATCAGTGGACTCTAGAAACCAAGGAAAAGTGGAAATAATTCAGTAAAATCAGAGCAACACCCATTTCTTAGTGTAGAAGAAGAGATGCAAAGGTGCTTACTCATTTTCTTTCTTCAAGGTAGTACGTTCAATACACCTGATGAAGAGTCTGCATGTTCACCTACAAGCCTTACTAATCAGTTATAAAGACTCATTTATAAAGAACCAGAATGGCCCACTGTGCTTTCTGGATCATCTTTGCACATCTCACAGATAGCTCAGCTTCCCAGTTGCACCTCATACACACACGGCAGGACCTGCTCTTCTCACTTTCTCTTTGGACCTGCAAACCCCTATGAGAAATTCCCATCTCACAACTACAATGTTCTTCATCTGCTTCCTAAAGTTGAATTCAAACAATTAAGAACTTCTCTCCACTGGAGAGAAGGGAGAAGAGAACAAGGGAACCCCACAAGTGTTGCGTGATGCCACCTCTGGGGTGTCAAGTCCAGCCTCCCACTCTAAGCACAGCCATCACCAACACTGGGCCAGGTCAGGAAACATCCTTGCTTAGGAGAAAAATATTGCTTGAAATTAAATTCTGGTCAACTGCTTATTATGAAGATTTCTTCTACAGGAAAATAAACATGCTTGCTTGGCAGGAACATATTCAGAGAAGGAGAAAGTGTCTTCAGACCTGACAAGAATAGAGAAAATCAATTGACCAGTGGGAACGAAGACTGATTTGTAACAGAGAGCTTCCCAGACACAGACTGAGTAGAGTGTGCTTACCAGCCAAAATGTGGTCCCCCCATGCATGCCCTCCCCAACCCCCCATGCTGCTCTACCTCCCACTGTGGATAGCCGTGAGGCTTCAGGGCCTCCTTGTGCGTCCCTGGCTGCACAACCAGGCAGCCGTTGGCCCGGGCGGCCCTTGAGAACTCAAGTTACATGAAACATGGGGAATGCATATGGTTGCACTGAAAAGACTCTTCATGCACTTTAGGTGTGACATAGAACTGTCCTGGGGAACATCACATCACTTACGGTGGTCACATGTCCCAGGAACCAGCTCCGAAGCTGCACTGTCTCTAAGCATGCTCCTTGCTGGCACTCCATTCTGAGGCCAAGTGAGTTTAAATCTCAGTCTATAGCACAGTGAGATGCCCAACATGGTTCTTGGGTCCATAGCTGCTCCACAGAGTTGTTGGGAATGGCATGAACAAACCGAATGTTTTAATAACTCAACGTACTCTTGTGCCTGTGCAGAAGCTGGACACCTCAGAATAGGAAAATGCTCGGGTCTCAGCTCTGCTGAACTCAAAAGCTTGTGAAGAGTCAAATCAACTTTGAAAAAACTGTAAGGTAGTTAACTGAACTTCCTTCCACCCCATTTCTCTTGTATGAAGTAAGACTTTGATCTGTAGCACTAGAAGCCAAAGCCAGGATTCAAAATCCTTCCTTTGGCACCATTCACATGTCTTCATATCAAAGCGCTGAGCATGCAGTCACTGTCAGCAAGGTCAGGAGTCAGACTAAATTTGACATGTCTGAACTGTTAGTCTGGAAAATAGCACATAAGCTCTAAGCAAAGGATCATCTCTGTATTTATCGCCTTTCACCAAGCTCCAGGAAGCCCTTGTTTTCAACACATGTGAAATGTCAAGCCCAAAAAAAAAAAGAGTGTTTTAAATAGTGGGGCTTCGTGCGAGTGCAGACAGGCGAATAAGCAGCTCAGTGTCTGATTTTTGCATGCTACTTTTAAAAAAAATATATAGTTGAGGGAGTCAACATGGTGCAAAGACCTAAGCTGTAGAAACATAGTAAATTAGTTGGAAAGAATGTTTTAGATGTAATGATATATAATGATAGATATAATGGCACTTTGATTTAGGAGGCACACATGTACGTCCCAACATGTGACCCCGAACATCTACAGCAAACCGAACAATAAGAAACATATCCCACCAAGCTGGGACTCAACTAAAACACACTATTACCAATATAACTTAATATATTTTCAGAAATGTTTTTAATTCAATTTAAGCAACTTTGCTAAAAGGGTAAGTGCCACTTCAGTTAAATACATGGCAACGCAGCCATATGTAACAACTTCTGCTTTTCCCTCTCCCTGGAGCTCTGCTTACCAGGATCTGGAAGTTCATTTCTCAGCATCACCTGCATGGCCATTATATTTGGCCCTGCAAAGCACTCAACATCTAGGATCTACAGAGGAAAAAAGCAATAGAAAAAAAGATGTATTTTATGCTATGGTAATATATTGCGAGTAAAAAAAAAGCTGGGCAGATCTATACTGTAAACTAACTGTTGATTGGGTTGTTCATGAGGGTGGACCTGTTATCAGCGGTTTCATCGAAAATAAAAAACAAGCACAAACAAACCAGCCACAGGTGCTGCCGTGGGTGCAATGCTCACCAGGGCTTTCCCTGCTGCAGTATATGCCAAGGCATTGCAGATGATGGATGACTGCCAGGGCAAGAGCTCTACAAGATCTCGTATGTCCACCTCTGATTCTCCAACACAACCTGACTTCTATAGTACAAGCCAATACATAAGGAACTGTACCTACACATTACATACATTAATATACTTTCTTATCTTATGAAAAGTGATGGGAATCTGCCGCTGATAACTACCGCAACATGAACGCAAAGTACAAATCCATCTGATATTGGATGGAGCATGTATTAAAGTAGGCCTGTACAGAACAGAACATCACGTAACTTTCCAGAAGGGTTAGTCTGGCCTGCTCAGTTTAGGCATTGCCTTCACCTTGCCATTAAAACGTCTATATGTTCACAAATTTCTACTAGGTTCTCCCACCACCACCCCCCTATTGGCTTTTACCTCTGGCAGAGTACAGTATCTGAACAACTCTTCATCTTCCCAGAAATCATGCACTTCATTAACTGTTTTTTCAGACCAAATGAAGTTGGGTCTGCAGATCTCATCTCTCATTATCAGAACTCCTGGTGGACTGACCTCCTTGTTACAGATCCTCACAAACTCCTTCCTGCAAAGCAGAGGGAACCGGAGAAGCCAGAGCACATTTTAGCCATGTTTGGTCAGATTACTCTCCTCAAAGACACTATTCCTGCAGAGAAAGGTATCCAGCAACATCACACACATCCATACTGGGAGAATCCAGCTTCATCCAGCCTCCCAGAGCTCCCTCAGGATGCTGCTGCACATAGGACCCCCCCAGCACCTTGAGCGAAGTGCCTTGTACCTGAAGTGCTCAATGTCTTTATCAGAAACGAGCTTCCTAATGAGCAGATACCCACTGTCTTCATAGAACTGCCTTTGCTCTGTGGTGAGGACATCACTGTCCAGGGTATAGCTGAGACACAGACGAGAAACACGTTAGTAGGGGTGGGCAGAGCAACAGGAGCAGCGTTGGTGAGACCCGGCAGGAGGACGGTGCCATGCTGGGGATCAGTGGCTACCGGGGAGAGGCAGGTGGCTCCAGCCGGCGTCTGGGGGACCATCAGCGAGAAACCCTCCCCACAGTCGACACCAAGGGCACTTGGAGAAAATAAGTAAAATCAAGTAGGAATTGAAATTCAATTTTTGATTTTTGTATGAACGAAGGTACAATTCATCGAAATGTCCTTGGCTGAGGAGCAGCATGAGCTGCTGCTGGAGCAGGAGCAGTTATCTGAGGTATCAGCTGAGGAATATACACTTAGGCACATTAGAGTATGAAAACATTACTGCAGAGCAATTATACCCCTCCCCATGAAATCTTGGAGTAGGGAGAGAAGGCAAAGTGAAACTAGCTTAAAAATGGGGAGCTGCAAACAGAGGTTGTAAAGGCCTTGTATTCCTTTCAATTTGGGACATGCTTAAAAATTATATATTCGATGTACACACTGTCCTTAGCAGTGCACTTAGTACCCTCATCTGCCTACATTAACTCTGTGAGTGATGCCTGAGAGGAGATAAATATTGAGATTGAATATCGATCCATAACAGACCCGCAGCACAGGTCAGAAGATGATTTTTGACATCTTTGCACAGGTGCCCTGTTGCCACCATGCCATAGAGCCTCACCGCTCCTAAAAAGTGGACTTCAGCCCCCCCCCATGTCATGGTTCAGATGAGCTTGTGCCATTGGTGTGGCAGTTGGTTCATCCTCACTTTTCCCTCAAGCTCTACACTGTGAAGCAGACACTGCTGAAAGGTGGGGTTTGTCCTGCTGGAATTTGCTGTTCCTACCTCTTTCCCCTCTTCCTGGACTGACTGCACAGCCCACGGGTTGAGGCCTTTGCTGCAGGAGGGAAGAAGGAGGTACGGCTCCCGCTGCAAGGACCAGGAGTGGATTGAATGTAGCGTGTGCTCCTTACGAACTGGGGTCAGCTTTCCTTCAGCCTCTTCTGACTCCCAAAACAGTGGAGACCACCGGCTGAACTTCGTTCTTCTTTTGGCAGGGCTCTTCCTTTTTTTCCACATGAGCTTTTCACAGGTTAACAAAAAAAAAAATCCCCTTTCTGATGGAAATAGCTTGATACTTTGGGATTGCAAAAAATCATTGAGGGATGGGCAGCAAGTTTGAGAAAAGCACCCAGGTTCCCGCACTTGTTCTTCATGGGTCTGCAGCACGCTGAACAGGTTTCCTCCTGGACAAAAATAAGCTTGGGGCAGTGGGTGACTTGGTTAATTATTGCTTTTCCTCTCCTTCTCCCCTTCCTGCTGCCGTGGTGGCAATCCAAGGGAGAAGAGGGAGTTTGGACCTGAAGGCTGGTAAGACCTCGCAGCTCTGCTGTGGTGGCTCCCTCTGCAATGGCCTGCCTGACGTGCCCAAATCAGCTGTACTGTATTGCCGGGAAACCAAACCCTAAGAAACATATGGTGGTTGTGGCTTTGGTTTTTCCCCAAAAAGCCCACTTTTGGAGAGTGAGGTGAATTTCTGGTGCTGAGTTTCCACTGGTGGGGCATGTGCTTTGGAAACCTGTGATTGCAGAATCTCCACTGGCTGGGATGGGTGGGAACAGGACCCAGAAAACACTTAACTGGCAGATCCCTCACACAGGAGCTCACATTCACATGAGCTTGATGAAGCATCCTTTGGACTCCAGCCATTGCTCAAGTATCCTGTTGGGATGTGCTTGTAGATCCTTGCTCTCCTAGGGACATGGTCCTGCACCCATGAGTGTGTAGCTTTGCTGAGAAGGAGCCACAAGCCCTGTTGGCTCTGACTCTGCCCACGGTCATTTCGGAGGGGCAAGGATTGGACTCCTTGGCATTGCTAAGATGCAGCTGAGCTGGCCTTGCACACGGTCGAGGGGAGCTTGGTTAATCTTAGTTCTCCCCAGGCTCTGGAATATCCTCAGCCTGTTGTTGTAAGAAGGAGTTAGGATGTGAGTCTCATCTGGTGGGAAAACTGCTCAGCTTAGGTGATCTGAGAGGTCTTTGATGGGTTTGTTCTTCTGAAAGAAGAGATTTAGGCCTAGATCCATTGGCAGAGATGCACAAATTTTTAAAAACGAAGCCAAACTTCTTCCCTTCTCTTTCCCAGCTGAAGTAAGAAATTCACAGCCTGGAAACTGGGAATCTGACGGACACCTGTAGCTCTTCTCTGTGGTCACAGCTCCCTCTGCAGTCAACTCAGCTACGCCACTAACACCAGATGAAGTCCCTCCGCGAATCCTGTGTGGTGAACCAGATGGGATATTCTAAGTCCTCATGAAAGTCCAAAGAAGAGCACTAGCTGGGCTGTGAGCCAGCGCTCAGCCAAATCAACAGAAGACCCTCCATCTCACTGAAATTATTCACTTGGGCCCATGCAGCAAGCAAAGACCAGGCTGAGAAGGTCCAAGCCTGGAGAGGCATCATGGCATGTCTCCCTGGGAGCAGGATTGGTGCCAGGGCTGTACAGAGGGCATGGGAAGAGGTGCAGGAAGCGGGATACTCAAAATCACCCACTGAGCAGGGCTGAGGGTCTGTCCTAAAGTCTCCCCCTTGCCAGACTTCTTGGTGTTGTGGTCAAACCAGAGGCTCCCGAGACGCTATGTCTGCCTCCAGGTGGGAACCACAGCCCAGACATCTCACCACACCACCAAGGGTTTAGGAGCAATGCAATCACTGTGCTCAAACCTTGCCTTGTTTGAAAAGCATGCAAACAAACAAGAAACCCCACAGATGATGCAGGAAGAGGAATAAGCACAAACCCCTCCTCTGCGTCATGTTATCATCTATGAAACGACTGCAACAGCTTTGACTTGCAGCCGCTAGCCTGGGCAGTCAAAAGCAGCGTGGCCAGCAGGTCAAGGGAGGGGATTCTGCCCCTCTACTCTGCTCTGGTGAGACCTCACTTGGAGCCCTGCATCCAGCTCTGGGGCCCTTGGCACAAGAAGGACATGGAACTGTTGGAGCAGGTCCAGAGGAGGGCTACAAAAATGATCTGAGGGCTGGAGCACCTCTCCTATGAGGACAGGCTGAGAGAGTTGGGCTTGTTCAGCCTGGAGAAGAGAAGGTTGTGGGGAGACCTGATTACGGCCTTTCAGTACCTAAAGGGGGCCTATAGGAAAGATGGGGAAAATCTTTTTAGTAGGGCCAGCTGTGACAGGACAAGGGGTAATGGTTTTAAACTCAACCAGGGTAGGTTTAGACTGGATCTAAGGAAGAAATTCTTTACAATTCTTTACACAAAACTCTGGAACGGGTTGCCCAGAGAGGTGGTGGAGGCCCCATCCCTGGAAACATTCAAGGCCAGGTTGGATGGGGCTCTGAGCAACCTGATCAGTTCAAGATGTCCCTGCTCCCTGCAGGGGGGTTGGACTAGATGACCTCTAAAGGTCCCTTCCAACCCAAAGCACTCGATGATTCTATGATTCAGTCCACCATTGAGCCTTGTGGGTTGAGGACAGGACTGTACCTGATCTCCTGTCTCACCTGTGTGACCTCCTGAGCCACAAAGTAACAGAGCAGGATCCACAAGAGTCCATCAATGCAGGCTTTGGTGCTGGTTTGGCACCTTCTTCGGATGGAAGGAGGGAGTGGAAAAGAGCTGAGGATCGCTGTTTTGCACTGGGGTATTCAACGACGCACCCACCACCAGAATTTCTGAGCGGCAGAAATAATACAAGGCAGCCCTCAAACACAGTTTGCTCTAATTTAATCTGTATTTAAAAAAACAGATTCTTAAAGTAAAAGAGTCTTTCAGAAAGCAAGGAAAAACATTGTGAAAGATGAGAGGATCATTTCAGTGCACATCACCCCACCCTGCCACCACTGCACCCTGAGGAGCATCCAACCTCCTCCCCAACCTGGCACGACCAAAGACATCTTTTCCCAGACCCACCAGACTCGGAGGACGACTCCGTCATTTCACACAGCCTTGGGTGGGTTGTGCAAGGGCAGCAGGAGCCTGGTTTGCTGGCCTGGTCAGCCACATATTTCATTTGAGCTAGCTCTGCGCGGTAAGATATGATGCCACACCAGGTCATGTTTGAGGAACTCTGCTAGCAATCATGTTCCAGCCCATCAACCCCACTTTTTTACGTGAGTGGTTGCTGCTTCCCCTTCATCCAGTTCCTTACACCGTTGATTCTGCTGGTACCAACATTCTCATCTTCATCAGCTGTACTAATGACTTCCCATGTGAGCTCATGCTGACGGCTTGCATGAAACTCAATTCATTCTATTTGTTTTGCGTAGAAAAGGAAGTTGAAAATGTTAAAAAACATACCCTTGCTTAAATTCTTGCATAAAATCTTACGTTAGTATAAGATCATTCCAAAAGTACGTCATGTGAGAAACTTCTAAAAAACAAGAATGAAAACACCAAGAAAATCAAAGTGTTCTTTCACGACCTTAATTCCTCAGTTGTCTACGATAACCACAGCAAATCTCTCTTTTTCTAAATTAGGTTTTCTTTGTCATACATCAGCTGCTCAGCCTCAGTGCAATTATTTTGTATTAGCATAAAATGATTTTGCAATGCAGCATTTGGCTAAGTTGTCGATACAGAGGTCAACGCAGCACCCATAACTCCGCCTGCCGAGGCAGAGCCTGCACTCTTCGATCAGGGAAGCTCATTCTCAGGCATGTGTTTTCCATCCTGCTCTTCAGAGGTTGTTCTACAGGTTAATTCTTTCCCCTTGCACAAGCCGTGCTCGGAAGTTCCAAATATCCTTCAAAACAAAAATGAGACAAAGGAAAAATCCTTAAAAGCCAGCAAAAGCAGTGACCAGGATTCCACTTTACAGAGATGGGAATAGATTGAGCATTCTCAGCTTAGTTACCTACCCATAAAAACATACCAAAACACTGACTGAATATTCTTTCAAATCCTAAATATCAAGAACAAAAATGCAGCCCTGACTAAGAAGGAGATGCAATCTCCACCCCCAGAAGATGGGTTGTTTGCAGGTGGGACATGGGCTGCAAGATGCCCATGGTTCAATTCTGGAAGGCGGCAGAAGAGGGAACATGAGCAGCACAGAGAACATTACCCTTGCAAGAAGTCACCCTCGCCTGCTTGTGCACACAAGTGCCTCCCTTGTGCGCCTTTGGGTGACCAAAAAGCTCACCAAGAGACAACACCTTGCCCATGAGCACACGATATTCCTTTGTGCAGCAGAAAACACCAGGAAATAAGGGGGGTGAATGCAAGCCCTTAGCCAGAAATCAGGTGCTGGACAGGCATTGCCACAGACTGGAAAGCAAAGACGACCACCACTATTTGCTTCATGGAGTCTTGGGCAAGCTCCTACCTCCGTTGCCCTGTGTGAGGATTACTTAGTTCTTATCATTAATCTTGTGAAGGTGAAATATAAGAGCTGGGCACTCCTCTGGGAGAAAGCTCCAACTCTGGTTAAAAAAAAAGCTTAAATCTACATGAAAACACACAGGCTCGTCTGAGGCTTGTATGGGGCACGCACTCATTTCCACTCACAAGAAGGAGAGAGCCTCACCACGCGTCACTACAGATTTCACCATCCCTAAATAACTCCAGGAATCAAAAGTCAAGCAAGCTGTAACTTTACAGACAGCATGTAAGATCAGTCTTGCAAAACACAGCTGGGCACCCCACTGTACCCAGGAACACTGCGGGAAAAAACAAAACAAAGCAAAGCAAAGCAAAACAAAACAAAACAAAAACCTCAAAGGTTAAAAATAAAAGTCCTCCAGAATGCCCGAGATATTATAATATCTGTAAAATACATAAATTTTAAAAGAAAATTGCTGCCTATTACATCTAGGCTTTACTGCCTTGATACTGGCTATGCACATGTTTGGGAACTGCTGCAGATTACGAAATTCAGAACATTTCCAACCCAGTAACAAGGTTTATTTTTCCTTCAGTGGCTGAATCCCTGAAGAATTTAGATTTGCTTTCTGTTTTACACAATGGTTTCAGTTATTCAGCAAGAGTCCATTACCCCCATGTTTTTTCTGAGGCAGATGTCGCTGCTGACATACCTGCTGTAGCCTCAAGTCTAAGCAATTGATGTGGAATTATATTTAACCAAAAAAATTCAGTCTGCTCTTGCCGTCAGATGTGGCTACTCGCTTTAAAAGGAAAATCCGCCTGCCATTAGGAGGGGAGACTATAAGAACTGTGGACTTAAAAGCTGTGGGGAAG